ATAAAATATATTTTTTAAAAAAATAATGTATTTATATTTATGTAGTCTACTAAAAATGGAAACCTTACTTTCCTTTAAGTCCCTTCCTCTCCCCCATATAAGTATTTTAAACATTTTCTATACATTCCTTAAGATCCATGAAAGACAGTGTTAAAGCCAGATGAACGGGGCCGGGCTAAGTCCATGGTGTGTGCAAATGTGTGAATTATTAGGCTACCTCTTTCCTAGCAGCACCTTGGAAGGGTGCAGGTTTTACTGGAGACCTTTTTGCTTTTGCTTTTGTCTGTGCCCATTGGCATTTCTGGGTGCTGGCTTCTCCGTCACCTAATCCAGGATACACTAGGCCAAAAGAAAACCCAGGAATTATCTACCATGTTTTTCCTCAGATTTAAAGGTCCCTGACTGGTCTGTCTTCTTAGCATCACCCTTCAGAGTTGTATGTTTGTTCTATATATAACATCCAGGGTTGTCCACTATACTTGGCAGGAGAAAAAGTGTATCTGTTTCATCCCGTGCTGGTACGGCAGTCCCTCTTCTATGAAATTTTAATCACCGTATGTTGTTTCTACTCTGTGAGTCACTTATCAAGAAGCTATAGTTCACACCAAGAAAAGTAACAAAGCCATTATTCTAAGGGTAGTTATGTGTACTAGAAGAATAATAAAAATATTTATATCAACATAATGAACAGATGGAGAAAAATGCCCTGAGACAAGCATCTGCCAAGAAACATAGGTGTGTATAAACTAGAGTCATGGTTACTGTAAGTAGGACAGGGAAAGGTTTTTGAAAATGGGTTTGAAGTGTAGGGAAGTGGAAGAAGTCATTTTAAGTGGTAGAAATAAAATGAATAACATTCTTTGCTTTTCAGGCATAAACTCAGATGGCAACTGTTCAGTCAGCTTAATGAATAGGTGCCCATTGGCAGTAGCAGGCAGAGCTGCTTAGTTCACCAAGTTGTCTGTCTCTCCTTTTTCTGCTCTGGCCTCTCTCAGAGATCCTGACTTGTTGGTCTTGGAGGAGTGAAGATGGATTGTCATGTTTTTTGTTTTTTTTTTTAAAGATTCTTTACTGCTTGCAGTATGTGTCCAGGCCTGATGGATTTTACAGCTTCATCTCTAGATAAATATAGTAACTTATTTTAATTTCATTTAAATTTACACAGTTATTTAGAGTCTGCTGGGGGCAGGGGCTGTTGGGCAGAGGAGGGGAACGTTTAGCATAGATATTGTGTTAGGAGGAACAACTAAGTCTAAAGTGGGTTGTTTTAAATGTCCTATAAAGAGAGTTATAAAGTGAAAGGATAGCAATGATTCTGGACAAGTGAAAATAGGGACAGATATTTGAGTAACTGAATTATAAGAACTAAAGAAGTTTTTTAGAAGGAGCCATTCTGCCTTAGTCTGTTCAGGCAGCTGTCACAGAATGCCATGGACTGGCGGCTGATAAATGAGAGAAGTTCTTTCCGGCAGTTCTGAAGGCTGGGCGCCTACGGTCAGAGCACCAGCAGCTCAGTGTTTAGTGAGGCCCACGTCCTGGTTCTTCGACAGGGAGCTCTTGGGGTTTCTTCTATTATAAGAGTGTGGATCCCATGTCGGTGGGCTCCGCCCCTATCACCTGATCATTTCCCAAAGGCCTCACCTTCAAACCATCACACTGGGGGAATAGGTTTCAACATGTGAAATTTTAGGAGGCACAAATATTCACTCTACAGCACATCCCAAGCCTGATCTTACCAATGAAGAACCGAGGCTCTCAGAGGAGCGCTGGCTTTCTCGAGATTGGAGGGTTTAGGGAAGACCCAGGACAGCCCCGTGCCTGGGCCCAGCGAGCTCTGTTTCTGCAGGCTCCAGAGAGAACCTGTTTCTGTGAGGACTTTGACTGCTGGGTTAGCTTATGTACAAAACCCCTGCCTGCCAGTGCCTCCACCCAGTGTTGTGGGTAGAAGTTGGCCCTGATGAAACTCATCGGGAAGGTTGAGGACTAGTTTTGTCTAAAGCCTTTGAACCAAAACATTTATGAAACAGCAGAATAGAGTTTTATCAGGTAATATCTATGGAGAGTTGCCGGGGTTCTTGTCCCAGCATCAAGAAGGGTTCAGGAATCTGGAGAAGGCTGTGCGTAGATTAATAAAGAGTCCGGAGATGAAGCATAATTTTGAAAGGCATTTGGGGGTCAGAGGAGCCTAGTTTAAAGGAAACTGGATCTAGGATCTAAGGCAGGGGTCCTCAAACTACGGCCCGCAGGCCACATGCAAATACAAATATTGTATTTGTTCCTGTTTTGTTTTTTTACTTCAAAATAAGATATGTGCAGTGTGCATAGGAATTTGTTTAGATTTTTTTTTTAAACTATAGTCCGGCCCTCCAACTTTCTGAGGGACAGTGAACTGGCCCCCTGTTTAAAAAGTTTGAGGACCCCTGATCTAAGGTTTTAGGTCTAAGGCAGCCGTGGGCAAACTACGTCCTGCTGGCCGGATCCGGCCTGTTTGAAATGAATAAAAGTAAAAAAAAAAAGACCGTACCCTTTTATGTAATGATGTTTACTTTGAATTTATATTAGTTCACACAAACACTCCATCCATGCTTTTGTTCCGGCCCTCCGGTCCAGTTTAAGAACCCATTGTGGCCCTCGAGTCAAAAAGTTTGCCCACCCCTGGTAAGGTCTAAGGTCTAAGGTCTCTTCATCCCAGGACCCCATGCTTCTTATTAACACAAATTGTCCTGAGGGGAGGCAGAGATATACACTTATACAGAGTCCATTGTCAGAATGGGGGAATTAGCCTAGGGCTGTTCAGGTGTTTGGTCAGTAGGAGGCAATAACATGTAGATTAAGATGCCTTTTAGCTATCTAGCAGCCAAGCAATAATCCCTTTTCAGGTTTGGGGAAATGCCTTCAGCCATTCCCAGATTCAGCCCTGCTGTCATGCTGGAATTGGTCTCCACAGAGTGTGCCTGGGGTCATCACCCTATTAAATATTTTCTAAGCTATTTTCAGAAACATCTATGGTTAATTTATGAAGAAAGTAATAATTTTAAAAAATGGATGTTTATTTACTAGGATATTTTAAAGGTCATCAATTCTATTTAGTAACTTATACCTGTTTTTTTTTCCTTCATCAACATAGAAAATGGGTCTCTTTTTAAAAATAGTGGATCACTTATGTTATAGCGAGCAGTGTAGGATCGCTCTGAAATTGAAAGTATCTGATTATACTGAACTGAGCCAGGAATGTTACTGATATAGAGGGGCAAACAAATTGTTATTTGGATCAATGTTCTTGAAATGTGTAAACACCAGTAAACTACGTTAGTAATCTTCTAATAACGTTATTTCTATGACAGATTAATTGGTCTGAAACATTATGCATACTTTCTTTTGCAAATTGAACTGGGTATGATTTATAGGCTCATTTTCCTTGGTGATAATGTTTCAATAGTTTTATTTATTGCTATGCTTCAGTCAGGGAGGAGGCTAGGAAGAGGAAGTCATGAGACCCATCTGGGTCTATAGCCAATCGATGGGTCCATGCTGCCTGTCACTCTCAAGCCAATTAAGTAGAGACAGAGTTCAGTCATATATGAGCACTTACTCCAATCATGCCCGCATTCTGGGAGAGCAGCTCTTCCCAGGCTGGCGGTCTGGTTCCTGCAGCAGAGTTGTTCATCTTCCCATGAGGCTTGGCAGCTCCAAATGGGGGCCGGGCTGCACTTCCAGGTGAACTCCCAGGTCCGGATTGGGGCTGCCAGCCAGGCTAGAATCAGAACAAAACAGTCACAGTTAACAGAGCATGATTACTATTCCTTACAATTCTAGCTGGTTCCCCAACATTATGTTTCTGCCCCTATCAGCTCTATTTGTGTGACATTGAACAAAGTCTTTTTTGAAGACTCAGTTAAGAAATTTAACTAAATGACATTCAGATGTATTCTACTTTTGACAATCTCTATTAAAATAAGTAAAACTAAGAAACCACGGGTCACTCAGATTAAACAGCATGCGTGTGTAACTGGCCTGCATGTCAAGTTCTTGATGTAGTGACTCTCACGGCATCCTCAATCTTCTTAATGCTGCGTTGGTTTTGCTGTCTTTAGCTAATGGTCTTTATCTGCTAATCCTCTGAAAACCTATGGCTTAAAAAGAAGTACAAATTTTTGTGAGGTAATTTTTTTATTGCCTGATTGATAATTGATGTTTTGTCTCTTTGTTTAACACCTACAGTTTATCTCCCCTTTAAATGCTTTCATTGCTTGCAAAACTGGGATATGCTACTTTAAAAATAGATATATGAAGATAAATGTAATGTGTGTCAGAAAGAATATTTTATTTTTTGTGTATTAAATACAAATATTAGAAGAAAATATTTTTTTTCTTAAAATATATGAAAAACAAATCAGTTTGGAATTGTGTGTTTTTTAGTAATTTGAGCTGCCTATATTAAAAAATGAAATCTGTCTTCTCATAAACACTATTGTGTGTTTTTTTTAAGTATGACTGGTTTCTCTATTTTTCAGTTCCCTTTTTTATTATACCTCCCTACCCCGTCTCTCTCTACACAGGGTGGGTATTCTGCTCCCTCCTTCTCTCCTTGGCAGGGCTCCTTCCAGGGGACCCCACGGACTGTGCCACCGCACCGCAGACAGAGTGAGTCTGTGTCTCTCACTCCTCCCCGCTCGTCTTCCTCCTGGTATTTCCCTTCTGCATGCTCTGTCCCTTCCCAGCACCGCCCCTCCTGCTCAGTGACCTGCAGGCATGTGCTAAACCAGCACTTCCTGGGCTCTCCTCTAGATTACGGTCCTTGTCCTTCCACTGCATGTAAATAGACTTCTACTTAGAGCCTGCAGAAAGCTATGGACTCCTTTTTATTCTAAAGCTGTTAACACCTATTGCCAGTGGCCCTAATCCTGCCAACCTTCACCTGTCTCTAGTGCATTGTGCTTTTTCATGGCCTGGATATATGTAAATCAAAATTGTTTTGACCTAGTTATGTTTAAGATGTACACTATCACAACAGTGTGTTCACTTCCAAGCACATGTCTGATGATTCCATGTGGAATTCAATGACTCTGAGTTTTCTGGGGGGAAATTATGCTATTAGCAGTGGTATAATGAACAGATGCATACTGTTTAGGGAACAGGCATACCAGACCATTGCACATTTCTTTAAACATTTCCTAATCAAAAGGCTTTGATTACTTTTCACTGTCTTCTAAAAGAAAAATCTTGTAAATCAGTTTTCAAGGGTGGTTTTTAACAATTAATATGTCCTTTTAATTTATCAGCTGCTTACAGTACAAAGGAAATGGCTTTTGAATGTGCATGGTTTACTAACATTTCTAATGTGACTTAAAAAGATTTGTTTACATTAAATCTGCTTTCCAAGACATTGTGTGTTATTTCACATTATGTACTTAAGTACGTCTGGTAAGTTGGTTATATTTTATCTTTTTTGAAAAGTCACCCAAAAAAGCTAATGTTAATGAAAAAGAGATATAAATATTGTCAGTCACTTTCATGCCTTCGCCACAGATTTACCCTAATTTGTGATTCATATCAATTTTTTCATAAATTATCCTTCTCTATGTGATGTATTGAGAGGCCAAAAGGGAGCAATTTTAAGCAATTAAAAATGTGATTTATTAAAATAAAAATTTATTTTTTAATTAATCAAAATTATTAGGAATCAACATGAATTTGAGACAGTGTTGAAGTTTATTTTTTTGGCTGTTTGTTTTAAAGATAAATAGAATAGAGTTTGTATAGGCTTTTATATCAAGTATTTAGTAGCAAGTGAATTTGTTTAGTGGATGCAGCAAAAAGAGGAATTTTTCTTCCTCCTCTTCCTTTTACATCTCTTACCATCTTTGTAAACCCTCCTTTTTTGCCTCTCGTATCTTCAAGTAAGTTGCTTTCTTTTCTCCTCTATTTAAAGATTTTTTGCTCATAAGGAATTATTCTAACTTGCTAGCGAACTTCTCTGAATTTCAAGTGCAGTTACAAGTGAGACTGTATTTTGGGCTTGTAGCCAGTAAACAGCATGGGTGACAGGGTGACCTCAGGTTAACACGTGACTGAATTTACTGAAGGCTGCGTTTAGCCTTGTTCCCTTCTCCCACCATGCTTCTCCCCGTTCTCCTTCCCTCAGTAGCTGCAATATGGGAGTGAACTTTGAGCTTTAATTATTCTGTATTGAAAATATTTTAGATTTTTTAAAAAAATACGTTTTTCGGAAACATCCATGTCACTAGTTTCTTATTTGTATAGCTTTACAATTTTCTTGTCCCTCCATTTGCAAATGCTTCTCCCTCCTTTCCTATCGGGGGTAGAGTTGTCATTTTCATTTCCAGCTATGAAGGAGCACTGTCGTGCAACACCGCTATCAAAACCTGTCTTTCTAGCTTTTCTAGAACAAACCTCCTTTGTAGCTCCAAGTTAGTAAAAGAAAGTGTACGTTGTCCGAGTGTGGCTGTGTGAGCCACCTAGGAGACGGTACCTGTGCACGGGAATCTTTCCCGGCCTGCGCAGCTGCGAGAACTGGCCCTGGACGCTCGTGGAAAGTGACCACTAGACTTGTTCTTAACTTTCCGAGAGCTGAGCTAGAAATGATCCTTTCGAGGAAAAATAGGCTCTAGCCTAGTACACAGTTTTGAGTTTACCCTGAGAACAGCTGAAGCAATTAAACAATAAAATCATTTTTATTTTTTAATGATAAAATATAGAGAAAGAAACGGGTATGGAATTATGGAAGCAAATCCAGTGTTTTTTCAAATATTTCCTTTTCCTACACTAAACATTCAGTGAAATAATATTTGTCTCCACATTTAGTTAATATGGGATTCCTAGTGCTGATTTTTTTTTTTTTTTTTTTTGGATAGTTCTATAAGGGATGATAGATAGTTGAGTGAGTTTGCCTACATTATAATGTTTCATTAATACATTCTTTCTGATGCTCTCTTGAACATCAACTTAAGTGAACTGCCTTTAATTCTAAATGTAGAAGCCAGGTAGGGTTGATTATTAGTCATCAGGCAATCTGTTTTGGCTCTTTTTAATGTAGAGGAACAGTAGACTTTCCCTTGCCAGAGTGGCTCAGTTGGTGGAGTGTTGTCCTGTGCACCGAAAGGTTGCCAGTTTGACTCCTGGTCAGGGCGCATACCTGGGTTACCTGGGTTGCAGTTCAATCCCCAGTCTGGAGGGCAAATGATTGATGTTTCTCTCTCACATCAATGTATTTCTCTTTCTCTCTCTCGCTCCCTCCCACCCCTTCTCGATAAGCACGCCCTAGGATGAGACTTCAAAAATAAATAAGCAAACAAATAGTAGACCTTCCAGCATAAAAAGATAGCCTGGTTGCCATATGCAAAGTGAACAACTCATGTTGACAGGGAGTGTGTAGCTCTAGTCACTCCAGGAAGTTGCGCTGGCCAGGGATGCCCTTGGCCGAATTTAAGAATAATTCTGGAAAAATTGGTATAAAAGGGAAGTCCTAGTCTTCGAGTATTTTTTTTTCTTTCTCGAGACATTTTGACTTATATTTCTTTTCTCCAGTGTGTCACTAGTCTCAAAGTGAGGATGTTTGACCTCCAGTCTCCAATGAGAGCTTCCTCTGGGCCAGCAGAAAGCATCTCCCTGTGGGGTCCTCCTGTCTCCTTAAGTACCTCAGCTTTTGTCCAGATCGACTTGGCTGGCATTGGCCCAGCCGCTCTAATTTCCAGCTGTCTGAAATCAGAAACAACAGCTAACCTACCGCACAATGGTAGTTAACAAAAATCATTCCTTTTGGCAAGTAAAAAGCTTTAGTGGTAATCTCAAATAGCATTTCTTGCTAGAGTATATGCTTTTAGGAATACATAACTTATTCAAAAAATTTATTTTGAAATAACACCAACTTTTTAACATGCCTAATATGACTTCTGAAGTTTTCTGTTTAACACCTTGCTTGAATGAATTGAGAAATCTTATCTACTTGTAGCTTATATGTGCAATAACTGAGATGGGAAGAAAAAAAATGTTTTGAAACACCAAAAATCACATACATCATGTTTATGTCTTAATAGCCCAGCAGATTTTTGTAATGCTGCCTGATTTCTAAATTTATATTATAATAATAACTAACTGTATTCACCAGAACACCATGAACAATGGTGATTATATTGTCTAATATCCTCCTCCTTCCCTTATAACCTGCAGGCAGGGCTCACTCCCTTTTTGAAAAGCAGCACTTCATTACAGCCCAGTGTATATTCCCTGAGTGGAACTGTGCGGGCAACACTCCACACATGTGCAGACAGTTACCATTCAGATAAAATATTCTCCAAGTAGTACTTTCTCTCAGGACATCTACACTCATACTTTCTTCTCAATTTTTGTTTTGTTTTTTCTCACATAGTGTCATTATGTGAACATTTCTTACATAGTTAATATTTCTTGAAAACATTTTAATGGCTTCATGACATATTATCATGTGGATATACTCTAATTTATTTACTAGTTTCCTGTTGTTGGGCATTGGTATTGTCTCCATTTTTCCCTATTAATAGAGATACTATTGCAATGCAGGCCATTCTTGCATGTAAATCAGTGTCAGCATCTCTGTACTTCAGTAGGTTTCTAGAGGACGTTCAGTAAAGGCTCGCCTTTCTAGAGACACGGGTGTGTTGTTTAAGGTGGGCGTTACCATGGCTCAGTCAGAGTGGCTTCACCACGTGACTAGCTTCACATCTGAGAAGTGCATCCATTTTCATGCTTTCGTGAGAAGTTAGCTTTAGGAGTGACTTTTCATAAAAATAAAATATTTTCCAGTGAAATGGAATCTAGGGTATCTCAGTAAAAACAGAACAATTGCATTTTACAGTAAGCTACTTCTTTGAAGTGCAGTTACTGTAGAATATCGTTCTTTGTTCATTTTTGTAGCTAATTCAAGTGCTGTTTAGTATTGGTTAATTGACTAGAAATGTGCATAAAATTCATGTTCCAGGAGGCTGTCCTCTAAGCTTAGGCATGAGTTCGTTTCTGTCGCGACACCTTGCAATTATGAGAAACACAGCGGCTGCCGTTCTCTGTGCGCGCCTGGTAACAGCTGCCCTGCAGACCGTGGGGCGCGCTGTGCATGCTGTGCTGGTGCCTGCGCATCCCGCTCTGGCTAAATGGCCGTGCATATTGGTCAGACCAGGGAACTGTGCTATTTTCTGAACTACTTTGCATTCCAAAACTAGATACGGATGGTCCTGTGTCTCAGAGATATGAAAATTAAGCATCTTATACTGATTGTGCCTGTGTAGTAAATGCTTACTTAAGTCACTGATAGTTTTTTTTTTTTTGGGGGGGGGGTTAATTTTTAACTTTTTATTGAATTTATTGGAATAATACTGGTTAACAAAATTATACAGTTTCAGGTGCACAGTTCTACATATCATCTGTACACTGAAGCAGTTAACTGATCAACTTGGAAGAGCCAATGAATTTATTTTAGAATTTGTTTGTTTATAATTTATGTTTATAAATCAGGTATCTCTTCTAAGCTCTCTGATAGTCGAGGACCATTCTGAGCTATAAGGAGACAAGAGCATTCCTGGTCTCCAAGAAGCCCGGAGGCTGTGAGTGGGCTGTGTGGACTCTAGAGTGGAATTCATTTACTCTGCAGTGGCCTCCCTCATCTTCAGGGGAGACATTTAGAAACCTCCAGTGGACGCCGGAAACCGTAGATAGTGCCGAGCCCTTATGTATACACTATTTTCCTTCCTATACACACACACCTTTTCAACTTAAAGAGGATGCACTCTATGGTTCTCTTTGGCGGATTTGAATTGCCAGCATCACTATCTTGTGCTTTGGGGTATTATTAAGTAAAGTGAGGGTGACTCGAGCATGAGCTCTGTGGTGCTGTGCACATGGGTCTGAAACAGCAGGGCTCCTCAGTTACTATGGCAGGTGGCACACACAGCGTGGATGTGTGTGGACCTAGGGTGGTTTACATCCCGTGGGTCTCCAGAGTGAGATTTCATCAGACCACTCGGAACAGCACACAGCTAAAAACGTATGAATTGTTTATTCCTGGAATTTTCCATTTAATGTGTTCGGA